TTCTGTGCTATGTGGCATTGTTTTTAAATAGCAACATTTTACTCTAGAAAGAACCAGGAGGCCATAAACAAATGTAATGCCTCCTTATTTGTCCAAAAGGAGAAAACAAGTTTACCTACTTTATGACCCTTTATTTTTATGTTTACCTTTTTTATGTCCTTGTTTCTTAACCTAAATTCTAATGATGATTTTGTCTTTAGCTGCATTTTGAGAATGTCAAACAAAATGTTTTTAGAGTCTAAAGATTAATGAAGCACATTTTTCATCATCAGTGTATACAAGGAAGTACTGAAACACCTTTTTTCCCCCACTCTAAATAAAAGTTGCTGTTGATATGTTTCGTTTTCCTTGAAGTCCTTCGTCCTTCAAGTTTCTTTTTTTTTTTTTCTTTTCATTGGACAAATGTTTTTTAAATTTAAAACTGGCTTTTTGCAATGTCCTGAGGTAGCTGGAGGCAAGATAAGCCGGGAGGTTCCATAATACTTTTTATGAAGGAAGTTAATGTCATGTCATTTGAACTTCATGTCCTAAAGCAGAGGAAAAGAGCGCACGAAAAGAATGAAGGGACTTGGCCAAGGCTGAGATGGGAATAGAAGTCCAGAACTCTTAAGTCCTAACTAGCCATCAGTGCTCTGATGGCTGGAAATGCTGCCTTTCTCTGGAAGAGTAGGAATTTTGAGTCCCTATTATTTTCAGGGAACTTAGAGTAAATTATTTTTAACACATTCAACAACACTCTATGAATAGGCTGCTCTGGTGCTGCGCGGAGGCACTTGCCTTTTTCATTCCTGTGGTGAAAACTCTTCCAGGGTGGCATCACGGATCCCGTTGACAGCACTCTGAGGGATTTCTGTGCTCGGTGTGTGCGGGAGTTTCTGAAGTGGTCCATCAAGCAGACGACGCCGGCGCAGCAGGAGAGCAGCCCCCTGAACACCAAGTCCCTGTTCAAACGGTTGTACAGTCTCGCTCTGCACCCCAGCGCTTGCAAGAGGCTCGGGGCAGCGCTGGCGTTCAACAGCATCTACAGAGAATTCAGGTGGGCAAACAGAGCTTGGTACTGCAACCTGCATCCTCGTCCTGTTCGTGTGTATAATAGCTGTAAAATTTAGTTATTCAAAATATTCACTGAATTAATTATAATAATGATAATAATTGATCTTTAACGAGCTGTGATAGTTACAATTTGGGGGGCTTTCTGCAATATGTTTTATAATGGTCTAGACCTATTTTTCTGCAAATATTTTGCCTAGTTGTTTATCAAATAACACTACAGTGTTTTAATTTCTATGTTTTTATTATTCAGTGTGCCTACTCATGTTTTTCATCATATTTATCCCTAATTTTAAAGGGAAGAGAATTCTCTGGTGGAGCAGTTTGTATTTGAAGCATTGGTTGTATTTCTGGAAAGTCTGGCCTTAACCCATACAGATGAGAAATCACTAGGTGAGCTATAGCTAATTAATTACAGAATAAATAAAAAAGCTGTGCTATAGAATCTTGAATTAAAGGTGGAAAAATAAACTACATTATGAATCTATAACTGTACAAAAAGTAAAGCGTGCTTACTTTTGTAGAAACAGAAGTATTATTTTACCTTGTGAATAGACAGATGATTTGTTTTCCAGTCAGTAGTTGCTTGAAAAAACTCCTTGCAATGTGATGGTGCAAGATTTTTTGTTCTGTGCTCAGGAGAAAAAAAAATCATAAATGATTTAGAGTAATACTGAAAATACTGGTGATGCTTCTGACTTGAGTCCCTTTTGTGCAGCGCTATAGTGTAAAAGTTTAGTTTTGTGAGAATCTCAAAGTCTGCTTTTCTAAAACAAACACATTGTTCAAAAAACAGCATTTGTCTGTAGCCCCTAGAAGGTTTCCATCCTTCCAAAGACCCTTTGATGGCTGCCTTACCATTTTTTACAACAGCATGGAGTTGTTTGAACGGTCTGTGACCTCTTCCATCATGCTAATGATTCTTCAGTAAGCCTGTTTTTCTTCCTTTCCTCTTCCCCAACTTTCATCAATTAATAGCGATTCAAAATAAAGCCAAAACCTGATATTACAAAGCTTTACTTCTTTCTAAGAATCAGTTTGGAATATGATAGAAATGACCCCAGAATAATTGTTCTTACAGAAAAAGATTACAATTTCTCTAAGCATGAGCATTTTATAGTAGAGGCCTCAGGGTTGGTTCAGGTCAGGATGAACTTTCTGGTGTTTTATGATCTCGTTCTGTGACCTTGAAAAATTTACTGCAGATGCAAAGACAGTGGAGGTGCTAGACGTTATTTCTACCGTGATAACAGCTTAATTCTTTGAACCAAGTTCCTGGCATTTATTTATAGTCACTTCTCTCTTCAAAGGTACCACTCAACAATGTTGTGATGCTGTTAACCATCTGAAACGCATAATCAAGCAGAAAGCACCTTCTCTGAATAGAACAGCGGAACGGCGAGTACCACGGTCAGCAATTTGCCAGCCATTTTTTGGCATTTAAATATTACATTTTAGTTAACAATGTGTGTGCATTGTTAGCATTTTGAATGTAAAAATTAATCCTATGACTACTGTTAATGCAGTTCTGTATGTAAATTAAGAGACTGGATATTTACAGGAAAAACTCTGCAGGGCTTAATTAACTTTTAATCTGTTTTTTTTTTCTCTGAGTGATGCAAAGAGAAGGAAAGACACCTGATGCTGCCTTTTAAATTGTTGCCACAAACTTACACACTTGAAATCTCAAGGTGGAGTGGGGAGAAAGGAAACAGTGTAACTTGCCTTGTAGAAGAGCTTGTCCCTGTGGTATGAATAGCGTGTTCATACTACATATGGTGTTCACACCCATCCTGCTCCTCCCTTTCTCTTACTATGGTCACTTAGATAAAAAGACATGCAAAATGCTCATGGGTCATTTTACCTTTTTATCTGGAACAGATGGTAGATGTCATGGATGCCTGTTAATCCCCTGTGTTTTTGTGCAGGGGGTTTCCAGCTGCTAGCACAGTGTGTCTGTCGGACGTTGTCATGTGGCTCCTGGTGCAGTGTGGGCGACCGCAGACCGAGTGCCGGCATAAAGCCATGGAGCTCTTCTATGAATTTGTCCCTTTATTGCCAGGTATTGAGATGTGCTCTGTGTGACTAGTTGTTTAAAGTACTGTGTACTTCTTCCGCATGTATTTTCTTTGAAAAGTATCGATTAGTTAATATTAGGAAAATTATCATATAAGAAATGTAGGTAATCTACTATAGGGAAGTAGGTGTATACTCCTTTATAAATAAAAGAAATCAAATACTTGTTCATATTTAAAATCAAATATTGTAAGAACCTCCATGCTTTGGGTGGTTATGAGGGTTTTAAAGAAATTTTTATTGCAAACTTCTTTCTAATCAGGAAGGAGAACTTGCAGACCTAGAGCTGCTGTTGCATGTAGCCATAAGGGCAATATTTGGTGACCAAGAACTAGTGGGAGTGTCTTACAAACTGACCTCTTCCTTGTGGGTAACCTGAGTAGATGACCAAAGATATACCAATACCTTCTCTCTGGAAGGCAGAAACAAGACCTTAATACCCCGATCCACTCTGTAAATTAAACCACAAAGTTTTACCATTTTGCCTTTGAATTCCTTGCCAGCTTGAAATGCTTTTCTGTACCCCTTGAGAATTCAGGTGTATGTTTGTATGTCTATCAGGAAACAAGTCCCCGTCTTCCTGGCTCGCTGATGTTCTGAAGGAAAAAGGCTTTTCTTTCCTCATTAACAAGTTTGAGGGAGGCGGCAGGGATGCCGATGGGCTGTCTGGAATCCTTTCCCAGCCAACTCTCCACGGGCTGCAGGAGCCCTTCAGCTTACGGACCGTTGTGCAGTGGATGGACATGTTCCTAGCAGCACTGGACTGCTACAATACGTTCTTTGAGCTGCGGATGATCAAGCCTCATGAAATACTGGGTAAGCAGCTACCTGTTGTGTTGGGGTCATTCATCTCTGTTTCTCAAGCTCGCTTTAAGATTAGTTCCCTGCTTGGACTCGAAGCTTTTTTCCTATTTTTTTTCTTAACTGAAGAGTTGATGAAACCGTTTCTCACGTTCTCAAAAACTGTGCTGTACAGCCACATCTCCCTCTCTTGGGACCTAAGTTTGTTCATTTGTCTTTTATCATTTCCAAAGATCCTTACCTATTCTTTATTAATGTCTGGAGGGGACTATCGGAAAGCATTGAAATAAGTCCCTTTCTCACTTCAAGCCCCATATGTGTTTTCTTTATAATGCTTCACCTGTATCAGGTCTGAAGCTTCTAATTTGAATTTTCATAATGCAGTCATGGAATCTGTATCAAAAAGTATTTCCTTTAATTATTCATGCCTCTCAAAATAGTTTTTTGTATCATTGACAGTACAGTTGCTTCATATATGAAGTTTGCCTGTCTGTCATGGTGTCATCTCTGTCTTCCTTTAAAAAATACTGACAAATTTTTGTTAGATGCAGTCAGCATAAGACTGAAGTATTCAATGCTGTGCATTTAAACATTTCATCCTTTTTATTACAAATGCTTAAATCATCATAAGTAATATGTTTCTTTTGGAAAGGTATCATTCACTGCCCAGAATGCTAATAGCATATGATTTTCAGAAAATACTGACACACTGAGGCTGTTTTCTTTCAGACACAACATAATGTTTTTGAAGTTGGGAGTTGCTGTTTAGTTTCAACTTGGTGTAATTCTTCCTAGGTATAAATGAAAGATCTTCATTCTTAAAAGCTGTGCAGTTCTTCCTTGAAACCATTGCTTTGCATGACATCCAGGCAGCAGAGGAGTGTTTTGATTGCAGCTCGAAAGGCAGCATGTTCAGTCCACAGGAAAGAGAAGTGTACAATTACAGCAAATGTACCATTATAGTCCGCATCATGGAGTTTGTCACCATGATCCTGGAATCTTGCCAGCAGGATTTCTGGAAGGTAGGCACTGAAATCTGAATGAATAGAAGTTACATGTTTTATTTCTGGTTAGAGGTTTTCTCCTTCAGGGTTAGTTTCCTGGAGAGCCCCTTCGTTAGAGGTGCTTCAGTTCAAATTGATGCTTACACGTGATGATCTGTTACAGTCTTTGAATGTTAGGGTAAAGCACTATGTTACCCAGCAGAGTCTTAATGGTTGATGTAGGTTTAGTTAGAAGAATTAATACTTCCTATATATTCCAGTAAGGGTATTGAATATAAGCTTATCATTTGTTCTTGTAATGAATATTTTTGAAGCACAATTACTGGCCTTAAATATGTGAGGGAATAATTGTCTGAAGGCAGATTGGTGCATTTTCCTCTTGAATTCAAGGTAAATATTCACATCTCTCCATTTGCCTAAATGGGGTGGAATTTAAGCTGTACTCTATGTAGTTAAATACTTCTGAGTCGCTTATGAAATTAATGTTGCCAGGTTGAGATATTTTTCATTTTTTTCTGATTACAATTTTCAGGCTGTCTCTTGTTTTAAGTAAATTGTTAATAGAGTGCACAAAAATTAACATCTGGCTTTTGAGATAGTGATGGATGCATAATCAAGACTAAAGCAGGTCTGTGTGGACATAAAAGACCTTATGTGGCATCTGATGTGATGGTATCTGTGTATTTGTATATCACTGTGTATCAGACACTTTGATTTCTGCATATTACCATGATTCAGTGAAAGACATTTCATGGAGAAGGAGAATATCACTTACGATGCGAATAGTTACTACTCCATGTTTTGTTTTATTTTGGATGAAAGTAATGAAAAACAAGGAAATCTAAATGGATTAAATGGATTAAATGAACTTTTCTCTACTTTAATGTTTTATTCTTTCTAGCTACTTGAGAAGGAATTGCTTAATGCAAGCTTTCTAGAGCTTCTGGCGATGACTGTGTGTAATCCACTGCATGTAGGCTTTGACACAGCTGATGTGCAAGTCATGAAAAACCTCCCAGATATCTCAGTGAGACTCATGAAAGCTTTGATGAAATCTCCCTATAAGGAATCCTTGAAACTAAGCATGAAAAAAAGACTCACACCACAAAGGTAGGTAGAATCTGTGTAATAAGTATGAAGGCAGAACAAATGCCACTCGCTGTGGGGAGCAGAAAATAGGTGATGTTGGGTTTGGTTGCAGATGAAGCCCCCACGGTTGATGTTATTGCTTCTCTTTGCCTTTAGCCTTGAGGACCTGTGTTCTGTTGCCCTGTTTAATTCGGACGCGCGCTGTGATCACACCAGGTACAGCGCTGTCCTTTCTGCCTGCAAGCAGCTGCAGAAGGCTGGCCTGCTGCATTCTGTTCTTCAACATCAGGTAACGGGTCATTCAGAAAGGAACTGTGAATATTTTTACACAGTCAAGAACTTCTCATGTGCAGAAGGCTGTTAGGAAAACAGTGAACAGGTCAGGTGATAAAACTGTAAAATGAGGAGCTGATAACTTCATGACATCCGAAATATGAGTTTTATGTTTATTGAACTAATTGAGGTTCATAAATGCTGAGAATTGAACTGTCTTCAGAAATTAGGTTTGTCTTTCTCCAGTGTCCAGCACCTGGAGGCAACTGGAATCTACCTATAAGTTTTCCCTGAAATGAACTTCATAAGACAAAGGGCACAAAAATCAGAATTTTTTAACTTGTCAAGTTGTAGGAAAGCATTCAAAATAATGAGGGCAATTTGAAAATGAATACACAGGGGAAAAGAGAAAAAGATTGTATGCCATTTTTCTCTTGCCCACTGTACTGTTGCAGCTTGGTTCTTCCAGCTGTTCTTTTTAGTTAAATCAATGACTTACGCAGCAAGTTGCAGTTTGGGGTGGGTATAGACTATTACTCGATAGACCAGCTTTCTGATTATGATCAGTTTTTATTTTGGGCCCTGGAAGGAAAATAGGCCGTGAAACAGCCAGACAGATTGAGAGAATTTGTTAACTGGTGAACAAGGCTGTATTTAGCAAGTAACAAAAGATTTAATTTCTTTGGGTCTTTGCCTTGGCTTCAGTGACGTCCAGCCTCTACATCTAGAGCAAAGACTGAACTGTGGCTGTAGGATGAATATTTGAAGAACTGCACTGTTTCCCTTTTTCAGCACACCTATTCTTAGTAAGCTGTTTGTTTTATTAATTTGGTAATCATATTCATCTTAAAAAATCTGAAGGATGTTCAGAATCTTCTGAAGGTTTTTTAAATAACCATTGGTTTGTTCTGAACAAAGGCATTAAAAAACACTGCCCAGAAGCACAAATAATCTGTGTAACTTGGTGCAAGTCAGCATTGTTTAAAAACCTTGCTATTCAATTAGAAATATATCTAATCTTGAAATACTTTCACTGCTTTATCAGAAAGTGGCCTGGAGTTAAGTGCTTATTAGCTAGCCAGACTGATGGAAAGGCCTGTTATTTTTTGTCGTGTATTCCTCCTTGTTTCGTTGCCACCTGCTTGCTTGTTTGTACAGGATGAGATGCCTGGTTTCTCCCTGGGCTGCAGGCTGCTGTCAGCTGTGTATAAAGGCGTTGCACCTGGAGGGGAAGGGGTCCCTCTTCCAGCCCTGGACATCAGCAATAAGCGGTTAGCCGATGGGCTCCTGCAGCTGGCCCTTGCTATTGATGATCAGGTACTGATGGTTCTCCTGCTTTCATACTTACTCTTAACCTTTCTATTTACAATGTAGAATGAACAGAACGATATTGTGGTTAAGAGAGGCTGATATTTTGTTTATAGTCCTTAAGAGTAGCTGTCAGCATTCCCTGGCTACTTTGAGGAAAAAAAGAGGAGTTATGGATAGTAAGCATTTCAGATTTCTGTTTCTTCTTTATTCTTGTGCTTTCTGGTTTTACATTCCTGGTTACATAAAAGAACTCCTTTGCTTTTGTTGAAAATGAGTGAAACGTAATGTGGTTGGGGTAATTCTGTCTTCCCACCTTGATTTTCACAGTGTGAGGAGCTGGTGAGTCTGCTGTTGAACACAGTGAAGTTATCTGTGCCGTTATCAGGAGCATCCCAGAAGGACCTGATAAATTTCTCCCATGGGGAGTATTTCTACAGTCTCTTCTCAGAAACCATTAATGAGCACCTGCTAAAAAACCTTGATATGGTCATACTCCAGCTCATGGAATCGTCTGCCAGCAGTCCGCAAATGGTAATAGACTCCTTTATCAGGACACAGGCAAATGAAAATAGTAAACTTAACACATTATTTATTTTTGTTAAAAGTGAACGCAACTGAAAGGGTGTAGTAGGGAAAAAGAGTGTTTGGTTGCACATGTTCTTCCCTACTATTTTTTTAAAGTCTAGTATGAATTGCATTTGATATTTTTTTCTTTAGCTTTATATGCTTATTTTGATGTACAAGAAGAAAAGAAAATAAGTATCTTTTATTGTACTCTCCAAAATCTGTTGAAATGAAGAGTTATTATAAAGATTTAATTTAGAGTGAAGGAATATCCTTGCTGTTTTTCCCTTCAGGTTGGTAGCATTTTGAATGGCATGCTCGATCAGAGTTTTCGGGAGCGCACCGTACGCAAGCAGCAAGGATTAAAGCTGGTTGCAGCTGTGCTAAGAAACTGGAGGAGACTCGACAGTTGGTGGGCCGAAAGTTCTACTTCTGAGAGCAAAATGGCTGTCTTGACCCTGCTGGCAAAAGTTCTACAGGTATGTGTTGTGTCACGAAATACAGTCTCTGCCATAACTCTGCAGGAGCATATCCCTTCTTAAAAGAATGGTATTTTAGTTTGATGTTTTTTTCCTCTTAAGCTGGAGAATATCGGTTTCTGGTATGCTTTATTTGCAAAGTACAAAAAAAAGTGCTAAAAATATTTTGACAATCAGAAGTGACTGGCTTTGGCTCTTGTCTCTCCCTGCTGGCATCCTCCTCCTCTCCCCTCACCTTCTTTTTTTAAGCACTGACTCATGTACTGGCTGCTTTTCTCCTGGAGAACAGGTACAAGTACAGGCAGTAAGACTTGACAACCTGCTGTCATGTTGGTGTCCAGCACGTTTGCGACAGAGGAGTTTCCTGCAGAAAGGACTCTCTTTCAAAGGCCTTTTACTTTTGCTCCTTACGTTGCGGGGTTCACACCTTTTATTCTTTCTCTGTTTGGAAGACAGAACTTACCTTCCTGTCATCTTGGGTGTTTTTTTCCTGTTTGTTTGTAGGAACTTACATAAGTAACCATGTGTATGTACTTTCTGCTGATTTAATATACTTTTTTAGAAAAAAAAATATAGAAAGGATATATTTTTTAGAAAAAATATATTACATTTAGGAAAATATAATAATAGTTTTGGGCTTTTTTTTTTTTTCTGTACATTGGAAGGATCTCTTTGGTTACATTTCTTCCTTTCTTCCAGATTGATTCTGCAGTTTCTTTCAACACAGATCATGAAGCATTTACTGCTGTTTTTAATACGTATACTAGGCTTCTTATTGATCAGAATTTGGTCTTAAATCTTAAGGTAAATTTCTCACTTTGGTTGTTCACCACTTCCTCCTCCTCCTCTCCAAGTTTGAATGGTAATAGTAGAAAAAATTCCCTCTTACTCGCTTAAATTTTATCTTAGTTTGTCCAGTAACATGTATCATACCATTTTTATTCTTCTGTCCAACATCCTGAAAATCTTAAATCGTCCTGTTTGCTCGTCGAACAGAAGATATTGTCACAGATTTTGTGTATTGTTTTTTAGGTATTCTTTGTTTTTTCTTGTCCTACTGACATGCGTGTAGTTTTTCTGAACATGTTGCTGTTAGTTGCAGATAGTTCAGACCTCAGAGTGTTCATTTCAGAAATCACAGCTAATCGGGCTTCTAGCAAGGATTGGCACTTTCTGTATGTCAAATAATTAATCCATGATGATTTTCATGTCCATCCTGCAAGCAGGAGACCAGGACTGCTCAATTAGCTGCTCTATGCAGCTTGGTCAAGAGGGGGAGATGAAGAACTGCCTGTGAGAGTGGAAGTTACATAAGTGCTAGACTAGAGCTTTGGACTAGAAGACTAAGCATCTTCTATTTTCTAAGCAGCTTTTTGTGGTCAATAACACAAAAGATTTTCCTGTGCTCTTCTCTGTGTTCAGAATAAATAAAGTTTGGGCTCTTGCTGTAGCCACCAAGAGTGTGGGCAGGAATAGTGCAGTAGATCAGTGATTTCTGTGGTAATAGGTACTTAAAAGAACAATAAAGTCTTCTTTGTAGCCGTGACAACCATGAGATAGTAATTAGGTTTTAACTCCAGTTTAGGAGTTAGCAAAGCTCTTTTCTGAACTAGCACCTTAAAAATGAGCAGCAAGATAACATGTCTGTGTCAATACACAAGCTATTGTATTAGTCAGTGGAGCCAAAGCTGATTATTTTGCAGCCCAATTTGGTTTGCTTTTTAGAAGATATTTTCACGTGTGTGTATTAAACTGCCTTTCTTTTCTTCAGAGTCAAGCAGTGATTATTCTTCCATTCTTCACTAACCTAACTGGAGAAAAACTTGATGACCTTAAGAATGCTCTTGACCAACTTATAGCTTTCAGTTTTCCCTTGAAGTCAGATGAATTTCCCAAAGGAACCTTGAAGCACAATAACTACGTAGACTGCATTAAGAAGGTCAGTATTTTTAAATAAATGAATGTGTAATTAAAAGCCTAAAGGAACTGTGTGTAAAATAAATATATGTTTTTTTTCAACATGTTTTGCCATGTTTGAGAAGGCAGATTTTTTCAGCCATGAAATAGATCACAGATTTATCTGAACTTATTTCTAGAGTTGATCTTGAAGTTCAGTGTTACTAAGATTCAAACACAGTGTCCGGTCCTTCAAACTTCCCCTTGGCAAATCATTGCTATTTTAATTGTTGTTGTCTGTTTTGTTTGGAACAATTATATTCTACTTAATCTATAATAAGGCAGACTGTTCTCCATAGTGAAATAGTTTGGAAAGTTGGATTGTAAGGAAACATTTCATTTGGTATGGAAGCAGTGCTCTCATTTCGCTTAAGGAAATAAGTTTTCTTTTTCTAAGTATGTCTTTATCCAGAAGCTTGACTTATAGATATACTTCAAATACACATATTCTTCTGACCAGCTACTTCTGATTGCTGTTAAAAAAAAATTACAAAATTAGATGGAAAAGATTTCATCCAATGTAATTCTTAACAAGCCTTTTATTTTGTATAAAAATAATATTGCTTCTTTTTCAGTTTTTAGATGCCTTAGAACTCTCTCAGAGTCCAATGTTGTTGCAGTTGATGACTGAAGTCCTTTGTAAGGACCACAAACATTTTATGGAGGGTTTATTTCAGACCAGCTTCAGAAGAATTTCCAGAAGGTGAGTTTGGTCTTGATCTTGCTCTCATTGGAGTTTTGCTGAAGCAAATTTCCTTCTTTTACTATTTGTCCTTGTAATAATGACTAAGGATTAAAGACAGTAAGTATGTGTGGTATCTTTATTTGCTACCCCTATATAACCACTTAAAATAGCACTTATGTACTATCAGTGAATTATTTTGTTCAGCCCCTTTGGAATGCAGCATGATGTTTATTAGAGTGTTTCCAGGATAGAGAAGTGTTGCCACAAAATGCTCTGTCTGTAGAAGAGGTGTTTAGTCTGGAAAACAAATATTCCAATTCATGACAGGCTGTAAAGACATGACTATTTTAGACCATTTTTGCTTCTAAGGTGTCATTGTTTGCTTATGTCTAAAATCCCTTTCTTGGAGTTTTAACTTTTACACAGTCTATTTTGGAGTAACTTTTTTTTATTTTTTTTTATTTTTTTTTTTGCTCCACCTTGGATATTTGCTATGATTTTTTTAAGATTGTTCAGTGAAAAGGGGGCTGAGAAAGGCCTTGCTACATGGGACACTTGTCATGGAGTTGTCCTTAAGATACATGCTTTCAAGACCTTAGTTTAGACATTACTGTTTGTGTAGGTTGTCTCTTTGGTCATTCCTTTGTTGAAGTTTCTCATGGAAGCCCATTTAACTTAAGAGGAACGATTTTTAAGCTCTTTGTTTTTCTTTCTTTCTCTTAATGTCTGCTTGTTCTCATGCACTACTCATGAATATTAAGCAGCGCTGGATGTTAAGGAGCATCATTGGGTTTTAGAAGTTTTTAAGTAACTCTAAATGGGTTCTCTATTGGCTGCTTTTTGTATGTAAGGTTTTAGTTACTTCGTTCTTCAGAAACTCATACATACCAATTCTATTTTAAATTTAGTGATACTTACCTTGCAAGGTGTGTGTGACTATTCACAATAATGTGATTTTTCTCATCTGTTAACAAAAAGTATCTTTCTGAAGTAAAACATGGCACTTTCCTAATAGTGCTTAGATGATTTGTAGAATATTAACACAAAATCATGTTGAAAGCATGTCATCGTCTGATTGTGTTTTGGGACATGGGTCTTGGAAAGTATGGAAGTTTAATATGTGGCATTCATTTATTAATAGACTTTAGTTTCTTCTTGATGGCCATAGATGCCATTGTCCAGTTCCCTATGAGGATCATTCATAACCACAGTGATAAGCATTTTCCTTTCTTCAGAGAGATGCTTTGGGCGAGGCAGAGTGATCTAATGTAATAATGTGCTTTGGGATTAAACTAACAATAGTATGTTTACCTTTATTGCTGAATAAGGAGGAGCGTTTTTCTTGGGAAATCTCCACAGCAAGTAGTGATTCAGCCTAATCTTTTCTATAACTTTCCATGTAGGATGATAACCCAAGTAGACATGAATGCAGACAAAAATTTTGGATGTTAGGGAGTTTCAGAATGTAAATAGAATCTGGTAAGCATTTTCACTTTGAGATTCCCATGCCATTTAGGAGTAGCAGTGACAAGCAAGTGATGCTGTTGGACACTGTTCACAAGATGTTCCAGAGTGAAGATCTTCGTTCAAATACGACCCGCCAAGCTTACGTGGATCGCTCCCTGCTCACTCTGTTGCTGCACTGCAGCTTGGATGCACTGAGGGAATTTTTTGGCAAGATTATTGTGCAAGCTATGGGTATGCTTAATTCCAGGTTTACAAAGGTATGAACTTTTTCCCACTTTTTTTAAGGATTGGGTTGTTACTGTGCTGCTGTTCTTATGTACATTATGCTTAACTTGGAGCAAAATGCTATCTTTGAAACTATTTTCTTTCCACATTTCTTTGTGCTAGTTTGATTCCTCTTCAGAGTGGGGTGCTTTTCTCTGCTCTCCTGCACGCTATTGCTTTAATTAATGTGTGCTGTTTTATCTACTTTGTATAAAAATTGAAATTGGAATGTTATCCATATATATCCAAAGGCAGCAAAAGCCCATGCTAACATTAGAATATGAAATGTGTAAAATTGTAGCCTTTTATTACATTGTAGGAAAGAGATACTTGACCTGTGCAATTAAGGTTTTTCAAATGGATTTCTTACCTGCAGAAGCAGATTTTCTAATCATTGCAAAGATCCTTCAGCAAGGGACTAGGAGCAGACACCTCCTTTTCTCCATACACAGCCTGTCCTCCAATGTAGGGTGTAGTTACCTGCTACGGTTTCGTTGTCCGTGGAGGTCTCTGCTCCTGCTGTGGTTCTGCACTCCCTCGATGTGCTCACAGTCCCTGCTCTGCATCTCCTTGGTAGAGCTGCCTGAGGGTAGCAACCCAGACAAGATCCTGAAATGATCCAGAGGTCATTAAGTCATAGGAAGAAAGGAAGAATGAGAAAGAAAAGACACTTCTGTGTAGTTGTGTTCCCACCATGTGTATATAGCTGGTGGCACTGAAGTCAAATTTTTAAAGAAATTTGTAAATAATGCCCAAGATACTGATCAGTGCATTTTATAAAGTGGAGATAGTAGAACTGACATTTTTTTTTTTATTTCGACTGTTATCCACTTTGGCTTTTAATCTTTGTTTATTAATATGTATGTTGTTTTCTTAAAAAAAAAAATCCATCATGGTTTTCTCGAGAAGGTCCTTAGCAGTGTTGTGCTAAAGAACTTTGTATGTTGCTCAGGTTTCCCAAACTGCAGTTATTTCAACAGAGACAGTTCAAATTGACAGGTTCCTTTTACCACCAAACACATTTCTCTCCTAGTATCGCTCTTACAGCTGTGTGTTTTGCCTATAAATGTCCAAATTTGAGCCATTATTTGGCATCCTGTTAATTTTACCCTAGTAGCACTCTAATGAGTTAGACAAGTGGTTTTTATAAAGTTGTAAGGAGCAAGTCAATATAATTTTAATAAATGTATTACAGGAGCTCATAATCTCTCAGCCTTCTGTCATTGCCAATTCTTCTGTTTTAGAAGATGAAAGAAAATTGAAGTCTGCTTAGTGAAAAATGGAGTAGCTGTGGAGCTATGTAGCAAGGGCAAGATCTAAGAAATCTTTCTGAGGTTTTGTGTGTTTGTTTCTAGTCCAATGAATCTGTTTTTGATACACAAGTCACCAAGAAAATGGGGTATTACAAGATGCTAGAAGTGATGTATGTTCGTCTCTCAAAAGAGGATGTTTACTCCAAGGACTCTAAAATTAACCAAGCTTTCTGTGGATCCTTAAGCACTGAAGGAAATGAGCTGACCAAGACTCTGATAAAGTAAGACTTTATTTCTTTAATTTCTGTCTGATTTCTCATAAGATTTGGGCAGATACTAAGTGTGCCGTTCAAAGCAGGTGCTTACTTTGCTCAAGCATGGCCTTAATCTGTGGTATAATTCCTGATTTAAGTTAGAATTCACAATATTGAATTTGCCATGATAGCATGATCTTGAATGCAGACTACACTACTTTGCCAGGGTAACTTCTCCCTCCTCTTTTTGATGATTGCTTTATATTTGTTAAGGTTATGTTTTTCTTTTTGATTTTCACATGGCTCTTTGCATTTAAACTGTGTCTTTATTCATTAGGCATTAGTATATTTACTTGTCTGTGTAGATTATGGTTTTGTTGCAAGCTGTATGTATTTACACAATCAGTGAGAAGATGGGATGAATTTTCATTTATACTTTGGAATATAACAGCAAGCCTAGCAGGTGTGATTTGGACTAGTAACCACTGCAGTGGGAGACAAAAGATAAATACTGAATACATATTCTAATGAATATTTCCTCGTTTGTTAAATACTCAGAAAAGCATAAAAGATTGCCCTAACTGCTGTTCAGTTTTATTTTAGAATATTTTGTCCTAATAAGGATTTTAAAGAATTTCTTAGCTATGATTTGCAGAAGATCTATAAGTACCTATGGGCAAAAGACCTACAGAAATTGCATGTGAACTGATATGCTCTGCCTGCTCTAAAGCATAGGTTAGTGTGGCTGTCCACTGATAAGTTTCTCGGGAAGATCTGTGAGAGATGTTTGTTTATGGGTTGAAACATATTTCCATCTTATCTTAAAATGACTTATTGTAACGCTGGCAATGAGGATGGCTGTGTAAATACCAGCTGAAGTTGGCTTCGTCATTGCTGAGTTACTGTGGTTTCAATGCAGCACTC